GTGGGGAATGGGATCAAAAACGGGGGGTGGGGGGAGGGAAATGCACGGGATTATGGTGATGGCACATGGGTGACTTGGTGATGGGAAACCCGCGGAGATTACAATTGAGATGGAAAAAAAAATGTACAAAATGATGTAAAAATAAACTTTTGTAATAAAAAAATGAAATCAAAGATATAAAATTAGCAATTCTCCTAGTAATATGAAAGGTTAACACACACTTCAGAGAGCTCTCTGTCTCTCCACTACAAAGCAACTGTAAATTTATTTCCTGTAAATCCAAATCTAAACATACTCTATTAAAAAAAAAGATTTCTTTCATTCATTTTACACTTCATCTAAAAACCTAATGATGTCTCCATCATTAAGCAGATGTGTGTATCTCCACACATAAGCAGAGGTATAAAATAATAGTACTGGCACAGAAAAAGATGATGGTGCATTATGGATCAAAGATATCAACTAATTCGATTCTGGGCACCCAAGGGCCAAAAATTTTATTAGTGTCTTATTATTGCAGTCTAAAATCATATGATTAGTTCCTGGTTTTCTCATTTTCCTTTATGATTCACACTAGTTTATAAATGTTTATCTTAAAACCTGATCCCACCCTCCTCTAAATAACCCCACTATTTAAGTCATTTTCATTATCCCACCTGCTAAATCCCATGTATCCTACCTATAAGAATACAAAAGTACAATACACTTCTGATAGGCTTATTCTGCTGCCAGTTGTATTCTCATATCCAGTCCTTTGCCCCATCTTAGCAGTATACTTCTCTTGAGAGTCTTCTTGGCTTCCTCTTTATGTTAGAAACTTTCATAGTTTTACCATGAGCCTCTTACAGTTTTACAAACTGAACTTTTGCCTTCTGAGTGATACCTCATAAATTAATGAGACACTGAACTAGATAGATTAGTTTTTATGCCTGAACTGCTTATTATCTACAGGCAAAAACTTAAAGCCAAGTTCTAATATAAGAGTTGGTGGGATGGGGTAAAACCTGAATATTTGGGCAGAAACCTGAATAAATAAAGAAGGAATGATGTTTGATTATATTCTCTACAAAAGTATGGTTCTTTCAGTCAGCACTGAAGAGAACGCTTTCATTTTCACATTGTTTCCGTCAAACTTTTGTCAAACTTTTCGTCTTAGACAACTGCCTTTCAATATTTTACTTTTCAAAGTTGTTGAAGATGCCACTTTTGATGAATATACACTAGAGGAATGATTGCTAATATGTGTAATTTTTTCCCAACTGTTCATAGGATCACACACATATGAAAAACTTTAAGTAATGAAATGAAGGAAGTTATCAAGCAAGTTGGGAGGAGGAAAATGGCGACCTCACAGAATAAAGTTCCCACCTTAAATAACTTTTAAGTTCCACATACTTTACCAGAAGTGGCCTGCGCAACTGGTTCTGTACTTCCTAGCAACCAGTCTGGAAAAAAAGAACCCAAAAACAATTTGTTGTAGCATAGAACCCTCTTACATTTGTTAAAAGTCAGGTTTACCAGCTTTTACAAAGGAAGTTGAAGATCAGGCACTTGTTCAGAAAAAGAACCCTCCCACATCCTTCCTTGTATTACCTTGTTTTTTCCTATGGGAGAAATCAGACACAAGCACAGATTTTTAAAAAAGAAAAAAATAATAAGGCTATTGTAATTTTGATGGTTTCCTGTGGAAATCTGCCTGTCTCTGTTCAACTCTATGCCTTTCTGTTTCTGTCTATGCATCATCTGGTACATAAATAAAATTGGGGAGTTTTATTTTCTGGCATCTTCTTGGAGTAGATGGTGGATGATATCTTTGATTAATACAAAGTACACTAAAATTTTTTTTTATTGTATGATCTTCCAGAAGATGCTGCTAATTTCCTGAGGGGGATTCATCAACAAAAATGTCTAGTTTTTAATTGCATCTTTTACATAATGTTATGATTTCTTTTTCAATCAATAAAAAGGAGATTATGCTATAGTAATTAATATTACAGCATTTCCAGGCTTAAAATATTTTTTTGTTTTGCGGTATATTTCAGTTTTTCAACTGAAAAGTAGATTCTTTCCTAGTCAATAAAATGCTGCTACAGGTAGCAATGATAATATTTATAATGGATATTTTACTTACCCAAGTTGTCTGTAAACATCTACACGAATGAAGGGAAGACCATGTGATTCCCTGCAGAAAACGTCTAACGCCTGCGTTTTCTTTCTCCTATGAAATCAGAGAAAAATATTTTCTCCATTCTGGTTTTCATGAAAATATATTATCTTCTGTTTCTACCTCAGCTCCAGCTCCAATTAGCTGAGAAACAAGCGTGTGCTAGAATTAAATGTGCCCCAAACTGGCAGATGGGTGGAGGGAGGGGGGAAAAATTGCAGTCTTGATTTCAGTTTCGATTCCTAGATCTGAATTTACGGAAGTGCTTTATCACTCTCAAATGCCTTTTCGGTGAAAACACTACTCTGCCACCTTCTGGTCTAGTTGCTTAAAATTCAAAGATTTAAAATTTGTTCTTTGCTTGAGAGTTTAGAGGGCTGCAGGAAGTCTTGTTTTGGTCCCAAACTCGGATGTCTGAATGGCTCCTGGCTGTTGAGGGCCTGTGAAACACTTGGCAGGGAAGGAGTACGCTTGGTATTTCATTATTCTTCCAGAGTGAATCAATCCATCTCTGTTTTCCTTCAGTGGAAAGGAATGGCTTCCCTTAACTTCCTGTAAATGCTGAAGATCTCTGGGTTAGTTCTGTGGGGCAGACCACGATTAGGGCCCCCTGAATGGTTTCATTGTAGGAATATATCTTTCCTAAGGTCAGTCTCGGGCCAGGTAGAAAACTGCTTGAAAATAGTTAACTATGAAAAAGGTTAACTTTTTCAAGTGATAACATTTATTATGTGTACTCAGTTAGTTTTGGTTTCCTCATTCCACTGCTAACTCACACAAGTTTCATATGGATTTTAAACAATGATCTGACACTTATTATGTAACAGGCACTGTTCTGAGTGCTTTATATTTATTTCCTTACTTTTTACAACAATCCCCTCAGCTGCATGCTATTAGCATCATCATCTCCATTTTACAGCTGAACTAAGACACAGAAAAATGTATCTCTCTTTCTCTGTCATATGCATATATATGACATGAATGTTCTAGATGACAAATGTGTCAGTGTAGGT